ATATATATATATATATATATTAAGTATCTTAATTCCAATTATTAACTAAAGGTATCTTAATTCCAACTGTAAAGAAAATTTAATGAAAATAAACATTGAGCGCTCTTTTGTGAGTCAGTTTTAACATATTTCAAATTCTATGTTGTGTTAATAGGACTCACCTGGATTATACCAACGGATTACTCCCTGTATACATACATATATATATATATAAGCAGAGAGAGAGAGAGAGAGAGAGAGAGAAACCAATGCATTCAAATAAGATTATATATATATATATATATATATATATATATATATGTATAAAGAGAGAAAGAGAGAGAGAGAGAGAGAGAGAGAGAGAGAGAGATAGCGATATTTATAAGAAATATAGACTATATTTCGGGGCCTATTCTATACAGGGCCCACATAATCATGTGATAGCAGCAGGAGTAGCACGAATTCTAAATCTCTACTGACATCAACCTTGTGCCATAATGTCTTGAATGCTAGAGAAATGTTTCTTCGTTTTTTCGTCCGTCTTTCCTCACCATGTTATCATCACATATCCGATTTCTTCCCGTTCATCGAACGCAATTTCGATTATCTTTCAAGGTGTGTTTTTGCGCAAACATATAAATACACATACACACGCACTCACGCCCGCACGCACGCACATACGGCTTGGCGGCGCACGCACGTGCTTCGGCAAGAAACGCCGATGAGCTACGACACCACGCAGAAGAGATGACGACATTTTTGCGTGCCTACTCTTTCGTTTCTGCCGCAACAACCACTTGCGATCTATTAAACTGTGGTTCGCGTGAGAACGTACATACGTAGATCAGGCTGTCCGGTTGAACGGCTGGTGGGGGCTGATAGTTTTTAAAGAGGAAACTAGCCGTAGCGCTATGATTAGCCATTTAGTAAATGTGTTGTGTACAGCCTCATTAGGAACCCAATTACTGAGGCCTTTTGCCAGACTTATCTATGTCTAGTCAATAAATGGAGATCTGCGAAGAACCGTAGCGTGATACTCAACTACCACGTTTTATAGACCAATTTGCTAGTCTAGTAAATTTGAGCCACACTGGGTGCTCCATTAGAGTAACCTTGTGCCAGATTTGTCTATAATGAGTAAATAACTCACATCAGGCATTTAGCGCATCGGTAGAGGGTAATGGTTAATCTGTTATTAAGTTTGATACGCGTTGCGTGCTCGATACTGATGTCCTTTTGCCAAACTTTAGCTAAGTCGATTAAATATTTACGGTGTACCTTGGTGTATGGTAAAGTCTAATGATGTGTTTGATCCTTACTGAGTGGCCCATCTTCATGTCCTTGTGCCAAACGAAGTCCAGCTTAGTAAACAAGAAAGATCAGAAATCCAAATGAATATATATATATATATATATATATATATATATATATATATATATATATATATATATATATATATATATATATATATATATATATATATATATATATATATATATATATATATATATATATATATATATATATATATATATATATATATATATATATATATATATATATATATATATATATATATATATATATATATATATATTTATATATATATATATATATATATATAAACATCGGTTCTCCTATGAGCACCGAAGTTAAGCAAGGTCAAGTCTGGCCAGTACCTAGGTGGGTGACCGCTTGGGAATGCCCGGCTTTGTAAGCTTGGATGTACGGTGGTGTTAACGGCTTTCGATTTTCAGCCGGGTTCGTGATATTTATTTACATACAAATCCCCTTGGTAAAAGTATGAATCCACCTCATCCCCTCCTTACTAATGGTTAAATAGTAGGACTTGTGTTCGTAAATCATTATTAATTCCAAAAATATCTTGCAATCTAAAAGTATTTCTCCTTAAATAATTTGCAAAGGGTTCATAAACCTTAACAAACACACTAATCAATCATTCACTCACACAGTCACGTGGACCCTGACACCTGTTAGGGCCCCAGCTATAGGCAAATAGTGAAACCCAAACAAAGGATACATTTTTATAGTAAAAATACCAGCAATACATTATTATATGAAAAAATGGCGAATAATACAATTTCAAACGAAAATGAATAGTTGTACATTTTATAGTAAAATTACCAACAATATATTTTATTTGTAGTTGAAGGCATACAATTGCTTTCAAAATATATTTAATTGAAGCCACAAAAACTGTGTTCAAAATATTTAGATTTCGGCATTAAAAAACCCACAGAGGTTTTGATATGTCGCTAAACAAAATCAACCAACCAGCCAACAATCACGTGGTAAAACTAGCACATTTCTAATGTACAAATGTGAACGTTATTATCCTTAAAAATAATATTTTATGAAAAGTACAAATTGGTGAGGGCACCTACCGTTGAGCAAAAGTTCATAGATTAGTTGCATAAACTGTTATTCCTGATCATTCAATCATCAAAGGAATAATTATCCATCTTCAGTAGTGAGTCAGTGATCGAATGAGACAAATGTATCGATATTTTAAGATCTTATCACATATATAATCTTTTGACCATAGCTAGGCACTCCATCACAGTGGCCTTGTATCAAACTGAGCTAATCTTTGAAACTACTTTAAGGTGCTTGTCGTAGAGTGATTCTTTTTTTATGTGTCGTATCCATTCAGGAAGTGGCTCTTCACAACTTCCTATACTTTCTAGCTCTTAGGAAGCTTTATCTTTTTGCAGTCTCTCCAAATCCCTGTTCTGCCAACTATTTTAAAAATATCGTTACATTCATCTGTTTTGCCTTCAGCATATTCTGTAAATGTCAAACTTTACAAGCCCTCTTTCCTCATTATGGCTCCTATAAATTATGGTTCCTATAAATTATGGTTCCTATAAATTATGGTTCCTATAAATTATGGTTCCTATAAATTTCAAATGTCTCTCTCTGATTACATTTATAATTTTCTTTTCTCTTTCAATTTTCCTTAAAAACTACGTCGTTAATACAATGTCCAGTTTATGGCACTCTCAGTATCCTTCTGTAGAACCATTTCTGTAGCCTTATGAATCTCCAGAATGATAACAAGCCTTTAAAAATCGATAATGCCGTAAGTTTGATTATATTAATGGCTTTAAGGAAGATTGATTTCCGCAAATTAAATCACAATTTAATTCGATATGATTTAGTTTTTTGGAATCATTCATTTCCCTTAGGAGAGAACACAGTTACTACACTTTGGTTTTAAGTGATCAATGATAAGACATTTCTACGTTTACGGATATTTTATCTTGGATTCGATAGAATTAGGTTATTTTCCTCGAAGCAGAAGTTAAAGAACTGTTTTTGTTTTTCATAAAAATAAACAAGAGAAAATAAAATTAAACATAGAAGACATACGGATGATTCACTTTTGGATATATGTAGTAATGACTATATATTTTATCTGAGAAGGCACAAATTTTTATCTATCTATCTATCTATCTATCTATCTATCTATCTATCCTGTACATATCTATTTATCTAGCTAATTATCATCGTTTCTTTCTTTCTTTCTTTCTTTCTTTCTTTCTTTCTTTCTATGTCTGTTCATATCTTTCTTTATTTCTTGCTTTCTTTTTTTCTATGTCAGTCTGTTCACTTTTATCCATCTATACATATATCTTTTTATATATATATATATATATATATATATATATATATATATATATATATATATTTATATATATATATATATATATATATATATATATGTATATATATATATATGTGTGTATATGATATATATATATATATATATATACATATATATATATATGCATATCATTCTATATATATATATATGCATGTATATATATATATATATATATATATATATATTTATATATATATATACATATATACATATATATATATATATATATATATATATATATATATATATATATATATATATACTGAGCAAATCTCGTATATATGTTTGACTTATACCTGCATATCTAAGTCTATGAAATGATTATTTTTTCTTAAAACTGACTTTCTTAAAAGTGGACAAGAACAGTAGGCTCAAGCTCGGTTACGAAGACTTGTGGCTTGTGCTAGCACAGCTATCGACGGCCTACAAGTGTTCCATTTACCCAATTTCAATCACAGGCTTGGGTATACATACATACACACACACACACACACACACACACACACACATATATATATATATATATATATATATATATATATATATATATATATCTTGTCTGTATGTATTCATTTTGTCTCCCTACAGATACATTTTTATCGGAGAATATATATATATATATATGTGTGTGTGTGTGTATGTGTATATATATATATATCTTGTGTGTTTATTGCATGTCTCAGTGAGAATAAGTAAAACCTCTCACTCACTCTCTCTCTCTCCCTTTTTTTTTCTCTCTCTCTGTTCCAATTCCTTTTGTCTACTCGCCCTCTCTTTGTCGAACCCATAGTCAAATGGTTTAGATGCCCGCACCTCGGCACACAGGTCGTTATTATAGCAGTTGTCGGAGGAACTGTTTTCGCCAGGCGCAAATTATCTGTAGTATTTTGAATCGAGCGAAATGTTGGCTGCATCCTTTCAATTCTTGTAAAAATTCTTTTCTCATTTACCAGCCGTCATTCACTTTATGAGATTGGCTTTATAGCGAGCCAGCCTCCGCTAGCAGTGTTGCGAATGTGAGTAACTAAACAGTTTCACGAGGCCGACGCAACAAGTGCATTCTATTTTTGTTGGTTAACATCAGATCGTAAACTGCCGTAAACAGATTGTAAAATATTGGGTTTTTTTCAACACTTATCTTAAATGGGACCTCTCTAGACCGGTGCTTAATAAAGTACCCTTTATTTCTTGTCACAAGACATAGTACTATAATTATTTTCACAAATAAAATAAAACTATTCTCCTGATATTTGCTTTTCCTATCATCACTTTTTGGCCATTGTTCTCTCATACCTTCCTCAGGCGTATATCGATCTACGTAGCGTACAGAGAATTCAGAACTGGACCCTTTATTTAATCTGCGGGGATAGACTTTTCTCGTTCCACTGCCCATGGCTAGAGATATCTCGTCTAGTCCTTATTTTTAGTACTGCTCAGTTAATTCTCACTTGTTTCCACATTACACACTGCTTGACAAAGGGATTGAACTCACAATTACTACGTCACCAATACCAAACTGAACCCTTTATTTAATCTACGGGGATAGACAGTTCTCGTTCCACTGCCCATGGCTAGGGATATAAAGCTTTATAAGCAATCCTGACAATTTAAAGAAGTGATCGACAGTCACAGATATGTTCTTGATCAAAACAACAAAAATGAAGATATTCGTCAGAGTTATTAATTGAATAATCATACTATTCAATTCAGAATTACAAAAGAAATATTAAAGAGAGAAGACAATAAACGATCAGGTTTCAAGGAGACAGAATATTGCGAGTAATATTGCATTTAAATTTTTGAAGTAAAAATTTGTGTGAAAATCAAGAAGTTGGAAAAGAGTTTCCACAAAAGAAACTTGTTTAGGCCAAACTTGTGTCAAAGGAAATGAGAGTTCATATGAGATTTTCAGACAATCTTAAAATATCAGGAAAAAGATCGGCTGAAATATAAAAAAAATCAGAAAAAGGACCGGCTGAAATATAAAAAATCAGAAAAAGGACCGGCTTAAATATAAAAAAATCAGAAAAAGGACCGGCTGAAATATAAAAAAAATCAGAAAAAAGGACGGCTGAAATATAAAAAATCAGAAAAAGGAACGGCTGAAATATAAAAAAAAAATAGAAAAAGGACCGGCTGAAATATAAAAAAATTAGAAAAAGGACCGGCTGAAATATGAAAAATCAGAAAAAAGGCTGAAATATAAAGATCAAACAACAAGGATGATTATCTTCGTCCATATAAATATAATATTTTATATAAGTATAATAAGCTTTATAAGTATAATAATCTATATAAGGATAATAATCTATATAAATATAAGCTATATTAAAATCTATATACGTATAATAATCCATATAAGTATAATCATTTATAGAATAATCCGTATAAATATAATCTATATAAGTATAACATTCTATATAAGAATAATAATGTATATAAATATCTATATAACTATAAATAATCTCTGTAAATATAATAATCTATATAAGTATAATAATCTATATAATTATAATAATCTATATAAATATAATAATCCATATTAATGTAATAATCTATATAAATATAATAATAATTATAAGTATAATAATCTGTACAAATATAATAATCTATATAAGTATAATAATTTAATGAAGCGTATTAATCTCTATTAATATTATAATGTATATAAGTATAATAATCCATATAAGTATATTAATCTATATAAATATAATAACCCATATAATTATAATAATCCATATAAATATAACAATCTATATAAGTATAATATTCTACATAATATAATAATGTATATAAATACATTACCTATATAAGAATAATAATCCATATAATAATCTATATAAAATCTATATAAATATAATAATCTATATAAATATAATACTCTGTATAGGTAGATTAATCTTTATAGGTATAATAAGCTATATATTCATAATAATCTAAATAATAATCTATATAAGTATAATAATCTATATAAATATAATAGTCTATATAATAATCTTATAAGTATGATAATCTATATTAATATAATACTCTGTATAAATATAATAATCTCTATAAGTATAGTAATCTATACACATATAATCTATATAAATACAGTATTCTATAGAAATATAATTATCTATATAAGTATAATGTTCTATATAAAAATAATCTATATAAATATAATCTGTATAAGTATTATAATCTATATAATCATAATAATCTATATAAATATGATAATCTATAAATGTATATATATATATATATATATATATATATATATATAAATAATCTACATAAATATAATAAACTATATAAATGATGTAATTCATATAAGTATAAAAATCTATATAAATATAATAATCTATATAATAATCTATATAATTAGTATTATCTATATAATAGAATAATCTATATGTATAATAATCTATGTAAATATAATGATCTATATAAGTGTAATAATTGATATAAGAATAATAATCTATATAATTATACTAGTGTATATAAATATAATAATGTATATAATAATCTATATTAATAAAATAATCTATAGGAGATCATCAGACATCCAAGTCACCTTTATTGTATCTCTTAGGTCATATACATTCAAACTGACAAGGCATTGAAATATAGTCCCTGTCTTTTTTTAAAAAAATAGAATTTGTTTTGCAACACTCTGATTCATTTTGAAATCCTCACAGTATTTATTATTGTTGAAATTATAGCTAACATTTTTGTCGAGATTTACAAACTGTTTCGTTCAATTTCGCAAACCAATCGATGAAATTTGAAGAAGATGATTTGTTTGGGAAGCACTTGACGAAAAGCCTACTTAGTGGTTTAATAATTTCATTAATTTAATTTAATTTTATAAGACTTCATGTAAACAATATTTTTTAAAAAATTTGGTTTAGCTCAGTCAATGTACGGCTACTTTAGAGGGTGTGACAGACGGACTAACGGAAATCACAGAATATATATATATATATATATATATATATATATATATATATATTATATATATATTCTATATATAAGAAGAAAAAAATCAAGGAATTATTAGATAATTGAATATTCAATTTAAATAATTAGTAAATATTAATAAATAATTAATATTTTTATAAAAATACTGTCGTCTTTCAATGCAGGATAGATGGACAGAATTCTTAATCCTGAAATTGCTCCTTCATTAGTTAAACCAATGAAAGACGATCCTATAAAACTTTGCGCTGGTTTTGCTGAAAGATAAATTCATTAATATGCGATGATGACCCATCTCATTCTTGTTTTCAAGAATGCTTACAATGTATTAGCTGAAGAACACAAGATGAATGATAGGAAAACAGGCTGCTGAACAATTTTTTTTAAGCAGTTCACCCCAAGCAAAATGGGAGTGCCACTAGCACGCAAGGGGTTACAGAGGATTGAGAACAAGAGACGTATTTGAGGAAAGGATATAGAGAAGGACGGGGAACAAGCTCAGGGTGTCAGATGTCGATTGACATTACACTTGAATATTTGAAGATTATAATCCTCGGGGAAGCAAGTAAGGGGAAGGGAGTTCCACAGACGGGAAGTGCGGGAGAAGAAGCTGTTTGAGTAGAAGAGACGAAAAACTACCAAGCGTTTAAAGTTAAAAGAGAATACACCCTTGTACACCCTTGTGTAAATTAATTGAAAGAAAACGATTAGAAATTCCAACGTATATCACCTGAAGAAGGACAGAGCGTACAACGACAGAAAGGTTTTCAATATGACAATGAAGATTAGGACAACAGTTCACATAACATAAATACATTTTAATTTTACACACACACATTATGTGCATATATATATATATATATATATGTGTGTATTTACACAAGGTGTATATATATATATATATATATATATATATATATATATATATATATATATATATACTTACACTTTTGTGCAAATTAATTGAAGCAAAACGAGTAATTTAGTTATTCTTTGCCTTTTTCGTATTTTTCCAATGAAACATGGCCCAGTGCACATGTTAGTACTTCCTATGTCCATTCCACGAAGTCGTTCCTTGCAGATTGATAACAGATTCTCGATTGGATTTAAATCAGGATAGTTTCCGAGTCAGTCTATAATAGTTTTATTTGCTCACTTGTAAGGCTTTCCAGTATGTTCGAGTAACGTTACAATTTTCGTATGCTTGCTTGGAGTAGCGTCCATCGCAGACAATCGCCGTAGGACAACTAATCGACAGTCGAGACAATAGTGTCTGGGCGTGATGAAAATTTTGATGTAATCATGGATGACACAATATTTTTCAAGGCCAAACAAATTTCATAATACACCCCGAAAAGAGATTCATATTACCGCACACTAGAGCAAATGACCTAATGTGAAGAAAAAATAGAAATATTACATTATACATAATGATAATGTTTATGTGTCTTCCTTCGTCTATGAATCTTTTTCGTTGTGCAGCGGTATATCTATACACTTACTATTGCCCATTTGGCTGTTACGTGATGTTCAAGCAACTGGGTAGTTCTGTGGAAATTTTCAGGATATTATCAATAAGGTTTAGTCATTGATTGAATTGAAAACTATGTCTTATTAAACTCTATTTTATTTAGACAGAACCATTTGATACTAGAGGAGACTTTGATCAAAACAGAACTAGAGAGACTTTGATCACAGAATGATAGTATTTTGGAATTTAGTGCTTGGGTTTCTTCTGAAGAAAAGAAACTGGACATTTAAATCGAAAATTGAGAGACTGTAGTTGATCAACTTGTAAAAAGAGAATGAAAAAAAAAGGAAGTAATGCTC